ACAAAGTTCATGCAAAAAAACGGGTTAAAGTGAGCTATTAGCTTTGTTCTTTCATATTTGAACACCCCTCGTTATTCGAGACAGAAACACTTTAAGGATAACGAAAACACAAAAAGCTGATAAAATAATATTGGACACTACTTATTGTTTCATGAGAAAACAAAACAAAAGAATGGTTTAAAGAATAACCAAAACAAAAAGCTGAAATAAATTTTTATTTGTCAATTTTTATTTTTTTCATGAGAAAACAAAGGTCAGCACAATATCATTGATATATTTACATGTATATATAATCTCTTTAAAGTCCCATTATCATGTAAAATTGATTAATACTTTTTTCTCTGGCAAGTACAATAACCAATGCAAGGCATTTAATTATGAAGATTGACAGCTCAAAATTTACATTAGGTGCTTGATGCAAACAAAGAAATACTTGAGAATTTTGTTGAAAAATTAGTGAATTGAGAAAATGACCACCCTTGTGTTTTTAACATCTTCATAATTCATAAAAATATTTTGAATATTCACTTTCCTCAGTATTGTAATGTAAACACATATACAACAATACAATTTTTACTCATAAAACTGTCAATATAAATTAATGGCTGTCTGCATTTTACTCAAGAACTTTTCAACAATATCAATAATGCTTCCCTATCAACCTACTTACATTTATATAGAAACAATTTAACACTACAATATTTAACTTAAAATAAATCATAATAAACACATTATTTATCACAGTAGATATACAATCACAGAGATGTATTAAAACTGCCTCTAATTTGAAAGCTATGCAACATTTTTTTAAAAATAAACATTATCCATTATAATATTTTAAGGATCCGAAGGATATTAATAGATTTTTTTGTGAGTCGCGTTGGTATTGATTTTACATGCGAAGTAAATTTTTTAATTGAAGTTAAGTATGGCAAAATGTGAAGAAACATTGAAAACTAAAATAAAGTATGACAAAATGTGAAGTCAAATTTTAATTTGAAATCAAGTATGGCAAAATGTGAAGTTAATTTGACTTAACCTCTACACTCATCATTCACTCGGATGGGCATAATGTCACAATGGACATATGTCAATATATGTAAGATTACTTAAGACAACTACTTATTCAGCTAAACCAAGTATGCATTAAGTCTAAAATGGGCTGTGAAAATCACTTAATTCCAATGTTGTCCTTGGTTAGACTACTTAAGGTATTACCACCCTAATGGGCACTATAAGAAACTAAAAAATTGACATCATAGGTCAGATATAAACCTTAAAGTACACCTGTATGCAAAATTTAAACAAAATTTACCGTACGGAAATCAAGTTATGGCCACTTTTCTGAACTAAAGCTAGGATGTTATGGTTTCTACTTAAAATTTATGAAATCTGTACAAAAATGTTACCCTACCCCACCCAGTTTTACAACGTGTCTGACCATTTTCCTACTTAGGGAGCCTAATTTAAAAAAATCCTGAAAATTTACCCAAATAAGTGCTTGTTTTCAAAGTTTCCCTAAATTTTTACAAAGGTATATTGGTTGATCTTGTAAAATATGAAATACTTTTACCGTCTAATTTTGATTTTATTACACTTTGAAAATATCAGGTACCATATTTATTACTAGATTTAGCATAATTTAGCCAATGAATACCTTTATAAATTAATAAATCAAAATTAAACACTTTTTTCTTTCCAAATGGGACATAAGAGATACATAAATAATGTTAAAAGAAAAAAGAAAGAAAAAAAAGTTGACCCTTCTGAGGATTGAACCAACGGCCCTCATTTTCAATGTAGTTAACAGTAGTTCTAGCCTATTTGAATACTCTTCAAAGCGGGGGTTATGCATCAGGATGGTAATACCTTAATATCAAAATAAATTATAAACTATCACTTAATGTGATTAATATCCCCGCAAGACAGCTTCGGAAATGAGGATGTTACTAGCAACAGAATACCTTGTAAAAGAATTAAAGTTATGATTGTGGGCAAATAAAGATAGTTGTGGTTCTTGTATGTTGCATTTCCTTTCAATGTGGTTGGCCATTGATGACATTTTATTGATTTACTCTGTAATAAGTCCAGAAAGACAAGGAAAAGGAACATAGGGCAATAACTCTATACATACCGAAGATGGAGTTATGGTTATTGTACACTGCACTTCCTCTCATTGTGCTTGACCATTGTATTAAGTTATATTGAATTCCAACTACCAGTTTTCAAGTTATGCACTGAACAAAAAAGTAACAAAGGGCAAGAATTGTAATTAGTCCAAATAGAGTTATGGTTCTTGTGCACAGCACTTCATATCACTGCCCTTGTTCATTGTATAAAGTTTCATTGAAATCCAACCATTAATTTTCAAGTTATGCACTGGAAAATAAAAAGTAACAAAGGGCAAACACTTTTAAATTAGTCAAGAAAAGAGTTATAGTTTCTGTGCACTGCACTTCCTCTCAATATACTTGGCCATTGTATGAACTTGTATTGAATTCAAACTAGCAGTTTCCAAGTTATGTTCTGGACAAGAAAAAAGCAATGGAAAAGTAACAAATGGCAATAACTCTATAATTACTCTGGACAGAGTTATAGTTCTTGTGCACTGCACTTTCTCCTATTGTGCTTGACCATTGTATGAAGTTGTTTTGAATTCCAACCAGTATGTTTTAAGTTAAGCCCCGGACAAGGAAAAGTATCAGGCAATAACTCTGTAATTTGTCAAAATGGAGTTATGGTTCTTGTGCATTGCACCTCCTCTTAATGTGCTTGACAACTGTATGAAGTTGTATTGAATTCCAACAAGTAGTTTTCAAGTAAGGCTCCGGACAAGTAAAAGAAGCAAAGGGCAATCACTCTGTAATTAGTCAAAATAGAGTTATGGTTCTTATACACTGCACTTCCTCTTTATGTTCTTGACCATTGTAAGAAGTTGTTTTGAATTCAAGCCTGTAGTTGTCAAGTTATGCTCCGGACAAGGAAAAGTAGCAAAGGGCAATCACTCTGTAATTAGTCAAGATGGAGTTATGGTTCGTGTGCACTGCACTTCCTCTTAATGTGCTCAACCATTGTATGAAGTATTATTGCATTCCAACCATTAGTCTTCAAGTAATTCTCCGGACAAAAAAGCAATGGAAAAGTAACAAAGATCAATAACTATATAATTAGTCAAGGTAAGAGTTATGGTTCTTGTGCACTGCACTTCCCCTTATTATGCTTAACTATTGTATGAAATTGTTTTGAATTCAAACTATTAGTCTTCAATTAATGCTCCAGACAAGGAAAAGTAACAAAGGGCAGTAACTCTGTAACAAGTCAAGATGGAGTTATGGTTCTTGTGCACTGCTATTCCTCTCAACGTGCTTGACCGTTGTATAAAGTTATATTGATTTCCAACAATTAGTCTTTAAGTTATGGTCCGGACAAAAGAAAGCAATGGAAAAGTAACAAAGGACAATAACTCTGTAATTACTTAAGATAGAGTTATGGTTCTTGTGCACTGCACTTTCCCTTATTGTGCATGACAATTGTGTGAAGTTGTTTTGAATTCCAACCAGATGTTTTCAAGTTATGCTCCGGACAAGGAAAAGTAACAAGGCCAAAAACTCTGTAATAAGTCAGATATATTTTAAATAAAATTTATCTACCTTATTATCTGCTTGAGAATCTTTTCTCAACAATTGACATTTAACGTTTGCTTAACCCTGTACCTCATGAGCATATTGTGAAAATGGCCGGGTTCATTGAAAAGCCTCCTGTTACAAGTTCAAACTGATATGAAACTTTGAAAAATGCTTCAATACTGATGAAACTGGGCACAAATTTTGACTGGACCGGGCACAAATTTTGACTGGACCATAGCCTCTGTAACCATTGTGTACATCAGCCTTACTGACCTGTGTGAAACCAGTCTAAGCATGATGGGATCGCACTACTTTTTACATGTCGGCATGAACATGGAAGTGATAGAACAAAACGCAAATTGGGCCAGTTGAAAACAAAATTAAACTTTTTCCATACCCTGTAAGCAAAATAGCATTTACATAATTTTTACCCAAAACATGCATCAAATACACCTTCTGACAATCCTTTAGTGGCTTTGCAAACCCAGTTTAGTCCAACACACATGATGGTATTTCGTCGGTTGTTAGTTTAAAAACGGAAAGTGAAAGAAGTTTTGAATATTTGAATAAATAGTAACACAGTCGAACAATCAATTGCACTTGCAATATTAAACTCTTGTAAAAAGTGATCCCTTGTAAGCAATAAACGATTTTAATCACTTGGAAAGATATATTGTGTTTTATAAGATAAAATTATCATCCCTACGCGGACTTCTTTATGTCGGAGTCATTTTTTACCCATATTTGGGGTGAGTAATGCGTCGTAAGACACAGATCGATAATTGAGAATCCGGTGTGTATACAATGCTCTGTAACAGCATGCTCAATCTTAAAATTCCTGTTACCAACGGGGGGTAGAAGATATCAAAATTGCCGGAAATCACTAATTGCATTGTTTATTTTTCCATTAAAACTGATTTCAAAGTACTGCAACTTCTAAATGGATTGCGATAGAGTAAAATGCTTTTCAACGTTGGTTACCTGTAACCTTACGATCGGCCTGTGGCCATTTTTAGCCTGTCACAAGTTCAAATTTTATTTACTTCAAACCCCCAAAACAGAAGGGATCACAGCCGAAAAAGTGATTACATTTTTAAACAACATTTCTCAAACGAAAAACAGCGTTTGGGGCCTAAATAGGGTAGTTTTTCACTGTATGAGACCTCAAAAAGGGAGTCGAAAAGACGTTTAAACACGTCTATATGAGGTAAAGGGTTAAAACGACCGATTTGATCAGTTTCCTTAATTTCGTAGGATAGTGTATTTTAGACAACAAATGCTATGTTATAAAATTTGATATTATTGATATTATTTTCCTTTCCAAAGCATTAAGGTACACTTAATTTTATAGATGTCTGCCCTTGATGAATAATTTTTCATACACAACTTCTAAAGTAAGTTTTCACTTGAATTCATATCATCCCCTAAAGACACACACATTCGTCTTGTAATGATTATAGTTTTAACAATCATATCAACCCAAATCGCAATCATTATTGATAATGCTACAACAATGATAACCAATTGTACAACAATGTGAATCAAATCAAAATAACTTTTAATGATTGTTTGGTCTTTTTCATGCTCCGTCGATTTTGTCGTCGAAACTTTTGTTGTAACAGTTTCGCTTTTCGTGCTGTTGTTTGTGCTGCAAACATTTCTATAATGCTGCTGGTTCTTAAAAATTGCTGGTTTAGTAGTCCCGTAAAATTTAAGCGATAAATGTTTTACTTGAATGTTACCTGATTGAAAAAAAAATTAATAACCGGTATAAATTAATAGCTAAAGGTCTTTAAGCTTTAACAATTTTCCAAAGTATTAATGCCATATGTTATATAACCGAGTGAGAATCGACGAAATTTGTATCACCAATATTTTTGCGTAAATAATTCAACAAAGTAACGAATATTTTAATTAGGTATTTCAAATGTTTTCTTCAGCTTTATTTGAAGGCATGTAAACAATCAAAGGGCATAACTAAGCACAACGTTCTCTTACACGAAATTGTAATGTCAACGTAAAATTAATTTATATTGTCATGCTAATCATTTAAGCAACATGACCACCATGTCATTCATACATTCAATCAATCAATTATTCATGCATTCATTTTGATCATTTTGATTGTGATATCTGTGTTTGAAAAAGAAATTAAAGTATATTCTTCTTTAGTTTAAGATAACATACTTGCTGAGTGTTTGTCCTGCACATGCAACAGCCAAGTACCAAGTGGGTCCTCATCCCAGAAATGACAGGATAACAGTCGTAGTTTCTGTACATACACTGACTTGCCCTTTAACAAAATGTATGCAACAAAATTAAAGTATACTAGTAGTTATTTTCGTACAAGTTTTAAGCAGTTTAAAGCCAGGAGTATTATGTCTGACAATATCATACATTACTTTATTTATAATAATTATTCTACTTACATTTCTTACGAACACGTAAATAACGATACCATATTATATAAATGGGAAAGAGGGAACAAACTGATCAGAAAAATCGTTTGTACGTGTTCTTGTGGGGCGTTGTTCGGGTTTTGCTGCTGTTTTTATTTTGATTTTTAGGGGTTTGTAATTTTGTGTTTGTGGGTTACTTTTTGTTTGTCTTTTCGAAAAAGTGTGAGTTATTATTAAAGTTATAGGTTTCGCCATAGATATAATTATATAGTTAAATATTTGACTGAACAAAAGCGAAATCCCTATAGAAATGACATACAACTTACCATTTCAGGTATAAAATCCATTAAAACAGATGTCGTTTTACCAGGCGATACTATTGATATTTTTATTTCAGTTGATTTTGCTTCAAGGTCCATTTGAACTTTAACATACTCTAAAATAGTCGGACATTCTAACCCTTGGCATTCATAACAAAACTCAAACGTCTGTGTGTGAGCTTGATGTGGTCTGCAAGAAAAAAAAAGATAAAAAAAATGTTCATTTACTATAGCTCTTTCATACACCTTTTTAAATAATATTTAAAACCTGAATCAAAAGCCTGAATCATTTTTAGACTTTCGATATATGGCCCATACCATATGATGTACAATGTATATCTTGAGCAATACTTTATTTGCAAGTTTTTATATCATTCACTTGCTTCGTTTTTCCTGAATAATTATTTTATTTCGAAAAATTACCCAAACATTTAAAGACTTAAAACGTTTTAAATCGAAACAGCTGAAAATGGCACAAAATTGATTATCAAATTGATTCAGACACTATTTTTCATTATCGTTTTGCATATTTTTGACTTCTTATTTGTCTCAATTAAATTTGCAAGAATTTTAAAGTTCAAGTGTTTAAGCTTGAGACATTTTGTGGTTCAATTTTTTATAGATATAATGGTTATAGGATTATTTTGATCAATTATTACTTGCATTTGACGTTGCATGGATTTTACTTAAACATGTCACAATCGGTACTAGTCATGTCCTCATTAAATCTTAGACTATTTAAATCTAAGAAATAACCATCGATCTTTCGTTACTCAAAGTGGTTTTATGCTCTGCTCTCTTTTTTATATTTAAGTTGAGCTGAATTGACAATCATTTCAAGACATTGACTGATGTGAAAAATGTTTAGGAAGAAACTAAATCTGCTTAAAACAAACTTGCGCCACTCTTTTTATAATTTGATTTCCATAAAATTTCCTTGGGGCAAAGTAAATTACAAAAATAAAAGTAATAATGGCAAAATGTCATCTTATTTTGCAATTTCCCCTGTCAACGCGCTATAACCTTTTGAGTGGCATATTTTTTCATCAAACCAGAACAAATGCACAATAAATCCATAATAAATTTTGTTAAAATAAAAAAAGCGTTGCAGCAAAATCTATCATATTCCAAATAAAAAAAATTGTTTTTCTTGACATACCTGGTTATGTACGTCTTGAGCTTCTTCTTGCGCATTGTAGGTGTTGGGCGGTGTTTTTGTGCCTTTTTAACAAACTTATCGGCATTTATAAGACCAAAACCAAACACTCCGTGAACTATAGATATAATAGAATAAAAAACAATACACATATGTACAACGAAAGACAGCTGACTATCGCTTTATTTATTTTTTTTCTGGCAGCTTTGCAGTTCCAACATCATAAATAAATAAATAATCTTAATATTCTAGTTAACAAATTTTCATATTTCTATGCTCTATGCTTTTGATTAATATGAACGCAAATTGTATCGAACCAAGATGCAATTTCAGATTACATTAACAAAATGTAAAGTTTGAAAGAAATTCGTGTATCAACGAATGTAGACTACAGATTATAGTTTGTAGACAAGACCCACTCATTTGTATCTAGTCACAAGGCATTTTGGTTTAAGGTCTACGTGTTGGTCCATTTTTGTCCGTCTAAGGCAACTTTGACAGTCAAAGAAATGTGACTGTGATGAAATGCACTGGGTTTTTGTTTAATACCTGTAGTATAAAACAAACTAGCACTAATAGCATAATCAATTCAACTGTTATACATGTATATTGATGTGAAAGTAAGCATAAAGAAAATCTTACAGTGTCTCCCAGCTGCATTTTTTGTAAATGCGATTCTCTCTCGTAGTTGTCTGTGTTCGGAAGACTGAACAAGTAGATGTTGGATATCCCTTAATGACAGGTCTTTACTGGAGAAAAATATCTGTACATTATATCTAAACAAATTGCAAAATTAATTTTTTCACTTACTTAAGATACATGAATCAGTATACATTTGTACATGAAAGCATACTATTTGTTCAGGACATTGCTGCTGAATGTGACAAGGACTTTAAAGGTTTTACTTTTAGTAAAAGAAATCCACGTTGATGACATTCACTTTCTACACACCAAAATGAATATCATTATTTGACATGTAGTATATCAATGTGCACACAATATATCATTCTTTTTAAACACTATTTATTTATCTTCTTAATTAATATCTGATTAGGTAATCAGACTAGTTTCATTTGTTAACAGGTCATTATGTATTTAATTTTTACATAATGTTACCGGTATATTTTTTGTTATTTGAAGAATTGGATTGTAACTCTTACTTAGCTTCGAGGCCCAGTCCTATAATCCCCGCTATTTGGGCTGTGGCAGCAGAGATCCCGTTAAACCCGGTTACACATCTGTCTTCCAAAGTTGTTGTAACCTAAAATATTTACAGTCCTACATATTAATCAATGATATAAGCGAATTTATTGGTATCAATCAAATGAACCTGAAATTTTCAACTACAAATTTTGCAGAAAGTATAATGAGTACAATTAAAATATCATTACCATTGAGGAAGATGTGAGATTGTTTCCATCGCCAAGTCCAGATGTCAATACACTGGCGTCTGTATAAACATAATCCGGAATTATTCCATTTCTACCGACACTGGACACTGTGATTGTGTGAATATTGTTAGAAAGTTCGCTTCCTGTAGGACCAGATGGTACAACATGAACAGTACCTAGGCCGTGACGACCCTTAAATGAACAGCATGCATTCACTTCATTTAAAATCCGAACCGAAAATGTTACACAGTTGGAGTTTTCATATATACATTGAAAGGTATAATGAAAGTTGTTTTTATAATTTATGAAAAAGAAATTGCAGGACTTTAAGAAATGATAAACAATGACAATTACAATAGATTTATTTGATTTTGGCCTCCGGCCGTTACAACACAGCATATACATTACAAGCATGACATGATGAAGTGCCAGTGTACTAAATAGAATTCAATTACTAGTATATATGTTTATGAAGTGACATAAATCAAACTATATTAACATATATGTATCGTATATACCATCTAGAATGTGTAGATAAATAGATAATTACACATATAAATATTATCAATGTAACATGTTACGTTCTTGAATAGCACAATATGCAAACACACCCAATCTCATCATAATATCTATATTTTTAGATGACATCAAAATATATCTAACTTATTAATATTAGGGGACTGATAGAATTTATATGGAATATTTTTTCTGTCTTAAAGATGTTAATCTGGGATATTTTAAAACAAAATGAAATTCAGTTTCAATCTCAGTATTACAAAGTTTGCATATTCTTTGATTTCTTTCAGTGTTAGAATACCATACCTCCATCAGGCCTCTTTCTTTTTCTAAGTCATATGAAGAGGCCAAGACAGTCCCGTCGTAAAAAGGTAGCTTAAGACAAGTTAAAATTATAATATCTAGAATCCATGACCCCCGTGATATTGTTTTCAAAGACATAATTATAAAAGAATTGTCTATAAACTCACGTGGATTGCCCCATGACTTATCACATCTTTTATTGCTACATCAAGTTTGTCAAATGGTCTAACAGGTGCCCATGCATTGGCAAATATGTCAGTAGTGTTAAGGTTGTAGCTTAATGCCCGTGAAATTACGTCAGAATCTGACCAGTGTTTTGGTTCTAGTACAGGTAAAGTAGACCCAATTAGGATCACCTTAAAGATCTTCAGCGCTGGCAAATACATGCAGTATGAGCAATACAATACAATACAATATAATACATTAAAATACAAACAATACAATAGGACAAAACATTCGAGCTGAGACTGTTAGTGATAATAACTACAATGTATACATGGTCATACTTACTGTGTACTGTGTTAATCAATTTGGGTCCGGTCACGTGTTTGACTTTTCAACAGAACAAAATTAACAACCCAGGCATCTATTTACACCCTATCATTCGAAATTGAACCAATGGTCCGATAGATAAAGATATTATGTAACACCAAAATTACCTTCCAAACAATGTAGATTTGATGATACACACTGGGTCTCAGTTTTGTTATATACATGAAGTCAACATTCAACATTGACCGGGCAACTTTACATTAGAAAGTACTTCATAAGTACATTATGAAGTAAACGAAGTAGGTATATGACCAAGCATATAATTTTCTATACAATTTAAACAGTAAACAGACAAGAAAATGGCTATACAATACATCTATTTGGATAGGGTGAAGATAGTTTTTACCTATAATGGTAACGTTGGGTGCTATTCCTGAGCTACATCTGTTATTACCTTTAATAGCACCAATAATGCTTGCCATCTTGTTACCGTGACTAAAATCAAACAAAGCAACATTACAACAGCATTAACAATAACAAATTGCTTACATCCACTAAAATAATGAGATAAAAAGCAATGAAATTGTATAAAAATGGAATTATATCAATGGAATTGTATAAAAGAAATGAAATAACATCTCAATAGATTTGTATACGATGAAATCAACTAAAAAACATTTCCATTATGATATTAAAGGGTATATAGGATCCACATTTAATTATGTAAATGGTCTCTTGTTAACATTTATATGATATATATCGCCGTATCCAGTTAGTAACTTGCAAAAATAATACTATAATAAAAGTAATTCAATGACAATAACACTCTTAAAGACAAACTTTTTACTGGTTAACAATTTTTATTGGTAATTTACTAGTATTTAATTTTTTTCTTATCGATCTTTGCCATAATATTACAAAACGAAAACTATTTTTATCGAAGGAAATTAAGTAGTTTTAAAATGGATTCATAAAAAATTTTTTTAATGAAGTGTTCGCCTGCAGTAACAAAAATCAGAGTAAAAGCAAATTTCCGGCCCATTTTTACCATAAGTCGGTTCAACTGCGGAATTGATGTTGTTCCTGCGAAGTTGAAACTTCGGTTTAAATCTCGTTTTGAATTTTTTAAACAGATCCAAAATATATGTGTTCAATATCTCTTTAATAGGGAAGAATTTTTAAATAAAAAATTTACATGCAATATATTTTTTTTAAAATAGAATTTTGCGATTTTATTTTTGGGGGTAAAAAAATAAAACAAATCAACAAAAAAAAAAATTTTTGGCTTTAATGGATAGTTTAGATCCACACTATCTAAAACAATCTTTTAAAAATAAAAATTGAAGGCAAAATCTGATCTTGAAATTATTTATTATTTGGACAGGTTTATGCATAGCATAATAAATTCCGTTTTAAAAAATTTAAAATTTTTTTCCGGTTTTAATTTAATAAAGTTAATAATTTAAAAGTATAACGATTATTTTGGAAATTAAAGGTAGCCTGCTCTTAAAATATTTTGTTTTTTTTCCGTTATAAAATTGAAGATGATGAAAACGATCTTTGTTTGTGAGGTTTTTTTAAAAAATTAAATATTCTCGCAGCGTTTATCGGCTTTTTAAACAAAAAAATGTTAAAAAAATACTTAAAATTTTACACAAAATCGCGTTTTTTCCATGTTTAAAAAAATTGGCCTGTCATATAAATTTGAAAAAAAATTTTTGTTTTTTTTAGATTTTTTTGTTTTTTTTTTTTCATTTAACCCCCGGGGTTTGCTTTTTGATGCTAGGTCTAAGTTTTTAAATTTTTTTCGCACAAAACGACAAAACTCTTTTGATAAATACCCGATAAAAACCCCCGCTTAAACCATATTATTTCGTTTTCTAAAAGTTTAAAAATATAGAATATCACAAAAAATTATTTTTTTCAACCCGGAAATAACTTGGGTTTTCCCCCGGTTTTTTTTTGGGTGTCCCCAAAAACAATAATGGTAGCGAAATTTCAGAGTCAAATCTTTTAAATTGAAAATTTCCCCAAAATTTAGTCCATTTTTTAAAGCGGTTTATTTATCCCTTTTTTTGTACACTAACGCCGAAAAATCGGGGGAAGATCACTGCTTTAAAAAATGGTAAAAGACAGACGCATTAATTTTCAAGCAAAAAAATTCCCCGAATTGTCGAAGATTTCTAATTTTTTGTTTTTTTGTATTTTTTTGATAGAAAATTTAAGAAAATTTACAAAGCGGACATTCAACTCTGACACAGAAGTTTTCGAAAAACCTAACAACAAGTAGTTCTCAAAACACCCTTAAAAACTAGCAAATTTAAAGAAAAGAAATATTTTTTATTTCGTTACAAGTATCCAACAAATTAAAACCCCAATTAAATTTAAAAATAGCGTTGGCTTTTTAAAATGCTCCCTTTATATTAAACTTTTCAACACTTTTTAAAAAATTTTCTTTAAAAGTAGCAATGGATCCAGGCGTGCTGTTTTAAATTTCATCCAAAAAGACTTTTACTTTTTGTTTTGCCCCCAATTTTAAGTATTTTTAAAAAGTATAAGCATGGAAAAAATTCAACTTTGGGTTTTTTTAGCCCCGAAATTTTCTTGCGAGAATGTAAAATAATGCCACTTTTTTTTGAAAATACAGAAAGAGGGGTAAGATTTTAAAAAAAAAAATAGCATTTCAATGGAGACCTCAACGGGGCCCAAGCAGGACACCTATATTTTCAACTGTTTTAATCCACGGGGAAAAATTAACAGTTTTTTAAAATGTCTTTTTTAGGACGTGAAAAAAGACACTTTTTGAATGGGTTTTCTGCGGGGGTATAGTTTTTTAAAAGGGCAAGGACAAAGTTTTTTTTTTTTTTTTTTGGGGGCTTTTTTATTCGGTAAAAAAATAAATTAATGTTTTTTTGTTTGCAACTCGGTTAGCAGAATTCCTTTATGTTTTAAAACCCTCTTTTGGCCTTGAAAAATTAAATTAAAATCCCCAAAAAATAAACTTTTTACGGGAAAAATACTACATATATACAGTCCCGTTTTAAATTTGAAAAAGATAAAAAAAATTACCACAAATTTGAAACCCCTTTATTTTTTTAAAAATATACATCTTTTAGTAAGCTCCAGGTTTATTTACATCTTTTTTAAACAACATTTAAATCGTTAAAAGGGCCCTAATTTAGAAAATATGGTTTTTTTTCGGGCCTTCACATATAAATTCACCGGGGTTTTGAAGGGTTTTTTCGCGCTCGTTAGGAAGAAAATTTTCTGGAGTTCAAATCCCTTTTTTAAAGGCAACCTTTTTTAAAAAAATTTTTTTAAAGGTCAAATAAAATTTGGTTTGGGGAATTTTTTTAACCCCGGGTTTTGGGGAAAATTATTCTTATACCCAAAATTACTAAAATTTTAAAACGCGGGGAAAAGCTTTTTGGGGGCATTTAAATATAATCTCACAACCTGTACCTTTTTAATTTCTAGCCCAAAAAACAAATTCAGCGCCTTCTGTCTTTGATTTATATAACGCCCGGTTTTGATTTTTACACTCTACTGTTGCTTAGATAGAGAAAATTTTTAAAAAAAAATAAGAAGAAAAAAAAAAGGGTTTATCAAGTTTTCAAAAAATTTAAAAAATTTTTTCTTTGAAAGATTTCATTTTTGTTTTCATCTGCCTTTAAATTTTTCATTTTTGTATGAAATTTATTTCTAAAAAAAATTTTTTCAAAAATTTGGATTTGCTTTAAAATTTTTTATAAATTCCCCCAAAGTTTTTTGATTTTAAAAAAACCCTCATTCAACGGGATATATTTATCAAAAATAAACAACAATTTGGGTTTTCGGAAAAATTAGTAAAAATTCATCAAAAAATTTGAGAAAATATAAGTTATAAAAAATAGCTTTGACTTTTAAAAATACCTTTCTTTTGTAAAAGATCCAAAGGGTTTTGAATAGCTTTTTCGATTTAGATGCCCCAGCACATAGACTTATGATTAAGATGGGAGATTTTGGGGTATTTACAGAGATCAGAAATTAGATTTTTTTTAAATTTTTGACTGTTGGATTAAATCTGTGGCGTTAGTGTATGGGAGATAAATTTCGGAAATTTATTTAAAAAAAAAAAGATTGTAAAAAACTGAAAATTAAATAAAAAAGCTTTTTTTGGGTTTTTTTAAAAAGGGCTTTAAACTTATTTAATTTGAAGAAAAAAAAAACATAATTTTGCCGCACCGGCTTTTTATTTTTTTTCTTTTTAGTGACAAAATACGTGGGGTGTTTTAGGGAAAAGTGAAATTTAAAAAACATTGTTAAACAAATTTTAATTAACAACACACCCATTTAAATTTATTTAAAAGGGTTTTCCTTTGCGTTATTTAAAAATTTTTGTATATAAAAAAATCTCAATTTAAAAGGGCTTTTACAATCAAAATGTAACAAATTAAATGTTTTATGCCTTCAATCAAAGAGCCGCCCCCAAAAAGATGTTGGGAAAAATACAGGTAATTTACAAATTTAGAATTGAAAAAACGTTTCTCATTAAGTTGATTATCCGAAGCACTAATCCATTTTTTTTTCCAAAAATTATTTGGATGTGGTTTTAAAAAACTGAATTGTTTTTTCTTGTTTCGTGGGTTTGAACCCAAAAAAAAGTGGACAACAAAAAATTGAAAAAGATTGGTTAAATTTTAAAATTTAAACCCAAAAACAAAATTATGTGCCCCCGGAAAAATTGTCCCCTTTAAATATTCTTGCGGATTTTCATAAAAGGGTTTAAATTTATTTTTTAGGAGACTGGGCTGTTAAAATATGTCTGTAATATCAAATAAAATTTTTAAGAATAAATTTATTTTATAATAATCAATTCTTTTCTATTGTTTACCTTTTTTAAAACGATTTAAACTACTTTTTAATTTTAAAAAAATTTGTTTTTATTAGCCAGAATTTTAGGTATTTGGGGCCCCTAAATGTTTTTAAAAAAAAACTAGGGAAAAAGGAAAAAATCTCAGTCACAAATCCTTCCCAAAAAAAACCTATTGCAAAAATTTTCATACGTAAAAATTAACGAAACCAGTTAATTTTTTTTTATAATTAAGTTTATTATTTTAGTTAAAACCGCTTACGTTTTTTTTTTTTTTTTCCCGTTTTGAAAAAAAATTTCCCAAATGCGGGCCCCTTGCGCCAAAAAAAATCTCCGTTGCGTATTTTTTAAATTTATTTCCTCTTGTTTCCCCGCCCCAAAATTTGGGTTTCCCCTTTATTAGGCTATAGCGGGTTTGTGTTGAGCCAAGAATGACGATTTCAGCTTCATTAATTCCCCATTTTTAAATTCACTTATTTACGATTTTTTAAAATTCATGAAAATTTATGGTTTTATTCTTCAAGGGAAATTAAATTTGTTTTAATTTTCCCATTTTTAACTCGTAAAACACGAGTTCAACTTCACTTAAATTTCCCATTTTTAACTTTACAAATTCACCCATTTTCAAACCCCATGAAAATTCCCCAATTTCAACTTTTAGGAATTTAACTTTTTTTTAATTTACGATTTTTAAAGTTTGTGAATTTAAAGATTTCAACTTCACGAAATCACGATTTCAAACCCCACGAATT